ATCTGAATGTAGAAAACAAACGTTATGCAAAATCCCTGTGACTGTTATGTTTTATTAGTTCCTTGTAATTTGGACCCTGTTCTTCATATTTTTTGTTTTTGAAAATTTTCCTCATTAACATATCACCCGATTCAGTTGAAAGTAAGTACTATACATTTTTGTACCTGTATGTAATCCCCTTTTGGAATGAAACTTGGACTTTAATATGGATTGGCTGGCGTCTGTCCAAATCCAGTAGTATCTCAAACAAACATCATCCCTACATCAGATATTATATTGGACATATTCACATGCATTTGTTCCTCGATCCATTTCAAAATGGCCAAATGGCAGCCATTTAAAGCCAAAGATGTATCAAATTTACACATTTTTACTATACCATTTTGGATCTCAGTCGTGCATGAACAGATTCTGTTCAAACATGGTACATACATTGAACATTAAGGACCCTTGATGTACATAATTCAGATTGGGTTCACAATGGCTGTCCGGTGGCCATTTTGCTTTAAAAATGGTAGTTCCAGATATATCCACTTGCATTTGTTTCATGATCCGATTTAAGATGGCTGAATAGCAGCCATTTTAAGGCCAAAATCTATCAAGATCACACATATTCACCATTCTGGAACTGTATCTCAGTCATGCAAGGTCAGATTCTGTTCAATCTTGGTATATACATTGAACATAGTGGGACATTAATGCACATCATTTTATTTTTTTGGATTGGGTTCAAAATTTAATTTTAATACTTGTGAATTATGAGCTTTCATAAAATATTAGTAGTGTGAATTTTGCTTCCTGAAAACTTCTACTACACACTTAAATGGGTAATGTTGATGATGGTTTTGGGGTTTAATGGAATTTAGAATGAAAAGATCTAATATTTGATTTTTCACCTGATAGCATTAAACACAAAAAAATATTGATTTGAAATGGGAGGTGTATGGGAGGGAGATTAAATATGCAAAGAACACAACATTTATATTCCACAAAAATCTTTTGAAATCTGAACAAAATTAACTTGGAAGTAGTTATTAACCATTACCACATATTATAATATATATATTATATACTAATATGCTTTTCAATTTGTTACCAGGAAACAGTGGTTGCAAAAAGAAGGCAGTCCAAGATCAAAAATCCAAAAAGCTGAATTTAGAAGTGAAAGAGTGATCACGGAACTTGAGCATGACACATTCAGGGTATTAAGACCCTGATTGTTTAAATTTAAAAGTACTATCCATTGTAAATAAGTATTTTAAAAACCAACATGGACATTATTTATAATGTTCAGCCTTTCTTTAATATTCAGAAAAAAGAAAGAAAAAAGGCCAATGTCTTTCAGTTTTCGAGTAATTATGATATAGCTAAGCAATAATGTGAATTAGAATGGTTGTAGCAAGTATTGGAGATAGCCTTGTGACTCAAACTGTATTCACACATGTCTTGCCAAATATCATTAAACTTAAATCTAAAGGGAGTGGAACGTAAAGGAAGGACTCAGGTTATTTATACAAACTGTGTTTAATTGGAAGAGAATATGAACTATGATATTAGAAATAGTTACCGGTTTTCATCTTTGCAATAGATTAATGTGTATGCACAGTATCATAGTGGCTATTGTAAATATTTGTACTACCGTACTTTATATGTAGGTTTATATTTGAATGTAGAAAAACTATTAATTTTACATCTGTTCAAGCAAGGCTTAGAAAAAATGTTTCTGGTCAAATTGTTTTCTAAAACAAATTCTCATGTAGTTTTTCATTTTTATCTTAAAATTACCATTAAAATAGTGCTTTTTTTTTAATTTTTCTATCATTGTTTCTTAAAGTTCTGATGACGATGAACATAAACATGTCTTCTGGACTAAATATGTGCTATCATTATCCATATAATAAGCTAGATCAGATACTGTACAGTACAATGTTAATTATGATCTTTACAACAGATATTTAGTTTACGCACACACATTTGATGCTTAGATTTGTTGATTGCCCAAAGACTAGATTACACAAATTCAGTATTATGATTCAAGTTAATGTACAAGCTTCATCTTTAAAATCAACTCTATTCTTTCCAACTGGCCAATGTGCATATCACATGTACAACAAAGTACATGCTTCTCGACCACAATACTCACTCGGTACATTGATACCCTGTGTTCTTACTTAGACACTGAAGCATGGTAAAAACGGCATATTTGAAAAGCTTGGAAGACTATACTGCACTTTAAAATACTTGAATCTCCTCGGGGCTTTACAGCTAATCCATTAAGTGATGTTCAGTTCATTTTGTGCATAAAGAAGTACATCATATCAATTTTAAGTACACATCTTTATTTCCATATTGGTTCAGATATTGAGACTAATAAAAATGACAAAGATTCTAGCATTTTCTGTGAATTTTCTTTGCATTCCATAAATAATATGTTCTAGTCGGCGTGATATCTACAGTGATGCATACTTCTTCATTGGGCTGATGTTGCTAAGATACCAGCGACACCTGAAGGTAAAAAGAAGGCATAGATGTGTTTTATCGTGGGTTGAGTGAAGGGGGTGGGGTCATTAGCTGTTTAATTTCACAGCTGGAGACAGACGGAGAGTAGTAATCGTATTTAATCCATACAAGTATTATATTTCAAAGTAGTAATATACAGCTGTATACAGAAAGACTGAAAAGCAGAAGTAAAAAAGTCAAACAACTGATGAGTAACTGTAAAGTGGAATCCCTCAAGATCACTCAATCAAACTATCATTTGATTGCAGTCCGGAAATGAGAAGTTTTCAATTACTGGAAAATAAAGAATAAAGTAATAGGACTAACTTACTTTCAAAATCTATTTTCTCCGTAATATTCTTAGGTTTCACATTTTCTTCTTGATTAGCTATAAATATCTTTTCACCATCTTTGGGCGTCCAGCCGTACTTATTCATCCACATTTTTATCTCGTCATCTGAAGCATCACCCAACAATTCTGACAATACAGATTTATCGATGTGCTGGTAGGTGATGCCGACTACGTGACAAATGTCTGAAGTTAATGAAAAAACAAAACAAAAACAGATCACAATAATGTACACTGCAGTACAATGAAAGGTTTATTTATTAAAAGTAATATTTCAAAACTAACATATGGCTCAATTTTGTTAATTTATAGTGTATAATTTCACCCTATGCATATATCACAAGACAATTATGAAATGTGGGTAATACTACCGGTATTGTTACCATAGAAACCGATGGTTTAGAGATGGGGAATGTTTTAATATACTAGTATATCTGAATGTAGCTACTTTTTTGTCTGGTTCTGTGTGGTGCAGATACATGTATTTCATATTTGCCCGCATCCCTTGAGTTTCTATTCGTGTACCCCCTACTGAAAATGTAGCTTCACCAAGCTTGCATTGTTGATGAATACTGCGCTGCAAAGATAACGAAAATCAAACAATTTTTCTATCGCTATTTTATCAAGAGTTGAGGTATTATGATAGACGGTGCATTGTTCTTAGTGACGCAATTTACACCTACAGAGTATTGACCTGAAATTACACAAAACCTTTAATATTTACACCAAACTGAACTACCTTGAACTAAGAAGAGGGAAATCTAAACCACTTTGTGAAAAACACTTAATTTTAATTTCAAATTTTATTTGCATGATTATATCCACTTCTGAAGAGGAAATCATTAAATGCTAAACAATTTCGTAATAATATGCGATT